GAGCCCCAGGGTCAGGGGTCCAGGGGGTTTACGGGGATTAGGGGGGTTTAGGGGGTTTTGGGGGGGGATGAGGGGGTTTAGGGTTTAGGGGGTTTAGGGGCTTGAGGGTTGTTTTTTGGGCTTGGGCTTAGCAGGGTTTGGTGCTTCTCGCGGTTTGTGTCTCATCTGGGTTTGGGTCTAATCTGGCTTTGCGGTTCCAGGGTCTGTGTGTGTAAACCCTAAACCCTAAACCCTAAACCCTAAACCCTAAACCCTAAACCCTAAACCCTCAACCCTCAACCCTCAACCCTCAACCCTCAACCCCAAATTCTAAAACCCTCAACCCCCAACCCTCAACCCTGAACCCTAAACCCTAAAACCCAAAACCCTAAACCCTAAAACCCTAAACCCTATGACCCTAAACCCTATGACCCTAAACCCTAAAACCCTAAAACCCTAAACCCTAAAACCCTAAAACCCTAAACCCTAAACCCTGAACCCTATGACCCTAAACCCTAAGCCGCGAGGCCTCCTTAGGTGCAAATGCAGTTTAGGGTTTAGGGTTTAGGGTTTAGGGTTTAGGGTTTAGGGTTTAGGGTTTGCCTTTCGTTACCTGCCAATTGCTTCAGAACCCCCCCCTCCCCCTTGAAGAAAACAAACTCTTCCTTATAAGGGTAATATAGGGGTTATCATTTTTTCATGTGGTTTTTTGTGGTTCTTCAGCAAATCGTAGTTTTTGCGTTGCTCCCCGCCCCCTCTCCCTCCCCAACATGCCTTGTCGGAAGCACTTTTGGCAACACGAGGGGTAAGGATAGACAAGCATATTGCAGCCTTCAATTAGGCTTTAGGGCTCGGGGGTTGAGGGTTCAGGGTTTAGGGTGTAGGGAACCCTGAATCCTAGACCCTATGTGACTCTCCGGGCAGGGCATAGATGTGCGATTTGGGGCTCAATGCAGATGCGTGTCAGAGGGCGGCAGCTCTACCGGGCAGATGATACCGATGTGCCCTTGTGCGAAGTGCGGAGACGTGGTGCGCCCACTGGTGTGCGTCGGCCGATCCCTCCATCGGGGTGCAAAGCTCAGAGAGAAAAGATGGAAGAAAGGACTGAGCAGCTGGAAGAAATGAAGGAAGGTGGAAAAGCTCGGAGAATGGAGCAGATCGAAAGGATCGAGCAAATGCGCTGAGAGTGTTGAGCTGGCTCTGTATGGAGACATTCGGGCAATCATTGCTTGAGTCTGTTTCTTCACCTCCCAGGGCGGAAGGACCGCCAGGAGAAAGGAGGCACCGGACCCTGTGAGGAAGTCTGCTAAGGGTTCCACATGGGAGCAAAGCGTCGTGGTGGTGCCGTGCGCTGGCCACTGGCTACCTTGCAGCTGCGGCCTCTCTCTCTCAATCATGGGCCGGCGTGTTTCAACGCCGTATCGTCTTCCTTGGTTTAGGGCTTACGGTTTAGGGTTGAAGGTTTGGGGGTTCCCTTTTGGGGTGCTTCATTTAGGGTGCCGTGCTACATGCCGGGAAGCCCAAAAGGGACTCTAGTTTCGAGAACTAGCCACATGTTCAATGGGTACGACCCCCTTCGTGATCGAGTAGGAACCCTAATTAGGAACGATCCCCACGTCGTCCTGACTCCGTGAACTGTAAACCCTACACCGCACAAGCCCTGATTGAATCCTAAGCCCTAAGCCTTAAGCCCTAAACCCGCAAACCCTAAAACCTAAACCCAAACCCCTAAACCCTAAACCCTAAACCCCAAACCCCAAACCCTAAACCCTAAACCCTAAACCCTAAACCCAAAACCCTAAACCCTAAACCTTACCCAACAAACCCCAGATCCCGATGGCAGGTCGCGGCCGATGCAGCCACCAAGGCCCTCACGCAGCAAGAGCGGGAGGCGCGCGGTGCCGTGCATTGAAAGGGGTTTGGGGGTTTAGGGGTTTAGGGTTTAGGGTTTGGGGTTTGGGGTTTAGGGTTTAGGGTTTAGGGTTTGGGGTTTAGGGTTTGGGGTTTAGGGTTTAGGGTTCTGGGTCATTGGAGGGGTTCAGGCTTCTGGGTTTCGGAAGTTTCGGGGCCTCGGAGGGACCTTATGGTTGCTGCTCTTTGCGTGACCCAAAAAAATCTTAATGCAAGAGGTTTCTTTGGTTTTTAAAGGTATTTCTTCAGGGTGTTTCAAAGGTAGGTTTTGGGGTTTGAGGCTTTAGGGTGGAAGGGGACCCTAAACCCTAAACCCTAAACCCCTAAACCCCTAAACCCCCAAACCCTAAACCCTAAACCCTAACACCTAAACCCTAAACCCTAAACCCTAAACCCTAAACCCCTAAACCCTAAACCCTTGCAGGAAGCCCCGGCTTGATGTTGTGCAGAGCCTGAGCCCTTCAGACCAAGTCCCGAACCCCCAAGTCGCAAGCAAGCCCTTAAGTCCTGAGCTCAAAGGGTTTCGGGTTTAGGGTTTAGGGTTTAGGGTTTAGGGTTTAGGGTTTAGGGTGATTTGACCAGTTCTTTTTACTGCCTCGCGCTGACGTGTTTGCCACTGGCTCCAGCCGTGGCACAGACTCATGAACGAAGTAAAGAACATCGATGTGGTTCAGGCTCGGTTGAAACCCTAAACCCTAAACCCTAAACCCTAAACCCTAAACCCTAAACCCTAAACCCTATAAACCCTAAACCCTAAACCCTAAACCCTGGCGTCAAGCCCTCAACCTTCCAGCCCTTGAGTCCCTGACCAACACTCCCAAACCTCCAAACCCCTCAGCCCCCAAGCCCTTCACCCTAAAAGCCCCAAAAAGTCCCCTAAACCCCAGGCCCGGTAAATCCTGAGCCCCAAACCCCAAAATCCCACCCTAACCAACACCCAAAACCCCAAACCCTAAACCCTAAACCCTAAACCCTAAACCCCAAACCCCTTGGCTTTTTTTGGGGGTCGCCATGCTGGGCCTCGCGGAGTGCGCCGCGGCGGTGCGCCGCACCCCGCAGCTCCCCAAGGCGCAAAAAGGGCTTTCAAAGGGTTTAGGGTTTTCGGGTTTCAGGGTTTAGGGTTTGGGGGTTTAGGGTTTAGGGTTTAGGGTTTGGGGTTTCGGGTTTTGGGTTTGGGGGTTTAGGGTTTAGGGTTTAGGGTTTGGGGTTCTGGGGTTGGGGGTTAGGGTTTAAGGTTTGGGGTCTGGGGTTTAGGGTTTAGGGTTTAGGGTTTGGGGTTTAGGGTTTGGGGGTTAGGGTTTAGGGTTTGGGGTTTAGGGTTTAGGGTTCAGGGTTTAGTGCAAAATTGTACCGCCTAATCTAGGTCATGCAGTTGTATAGTGTACAGTGTATATATGCCGATGCATCTAACTCTCAAGATTCCCAGTTGAGCGTAGAAAAGAGATTTTCATGGTAGCGTGGAGCCATAGCGAAAAGGGGCACACAAGGAAAGTCACTGGGAAAGGAGGAAAGGGCAGGAGTACAAAGCCCCGGAAGAAGGGCGTCAGGAGCGCTGAGGCGCTGGAACGGCGCAAGGGCCGCAAAGTGTGGGCTGCTGACAAGGGGCTACCAGGTTCGCGTAGGCTGGACCAGACACCAGCTGAACCTGAGGGTCCGCCGCCGTGGAAGCGGCAGTGCGTGCCAGGCACACCGCCTGAAGCCTTCGACGTGAACTACGTGAAACCCCCTCAAACACCCCCGGAGGGTAGAACTATAGAGGGGACCTCTCCGGGAACACCGGAAGAAGCGTTCAAGGATCAGGGGTTGGAGCAGCCGAAGACGCCAAGCATTGTCCTTACGCCTGAGGAGGAACCTTCAAGTGATAGCTCCTTGCTGTCGGTGGTGCCAAGGGACAGGGCCGAGCCGAAAGCGAGGTCAAGAAGCCGGTCTAGGTCGAGCTGCAGCTCGGCTCCCCGTGAAGGGGAAGAGTCGGTGCCATCCGCACCATCGGTGCCTGTGAGAAGAGAGGCTAGGGTAGCAGCTATCTTGGCAGCAGGTGCGGCGGAGGCTCGCGCGAAGGCAAAGGCCAGAGCGGCAGGTACAGCTATCTATCGCCGCCGCAACCGTGGGTTGGTGATTGTTCCTGAGCCTGCAGTGCAACCAGAGGCGGCAGTACCTACCATCGCCGCGCTTGAGGCAGCGCCCAAAGCAGAGCCCAAGTCGAAAGGTAAGCAAAAGGGAAAAGGCCGAGGCTTGGGTGTTTGGACCGCTGCAGAGGAGGACCGGCGGGTGCGAGAAGGGTGGACACACAAGGCGTCCTTGGACACGCGACTCCAGCACCTGGCGTTGAGGCAGTACTGGGCTGGAATAGACGCCGGTAAGCCTGAGACCCGGAAGGGAGGAGCACCCTTGACCCCAACAACGAACTACCAGATTCGAAGGTTGGCGTTTGGCTGGATCACCAAGGTAACCGCGGGATCTGTTGGGTTGTCCTTGCAAAGGGCGCTTGCAGGCCGAGCCGCGAGCGGCACGGCAGGTGGAGCCTGCAGCAGCTGCGACGAGCGGGAGTTGCGTGCGAGAAGAGCAGCCGTAGCATTCACAACCAGGGTCGAGGCTAAGGCCAAACCCAACTTTGTGTATAGAAGGCCCTCAGGACAGTTGAGGAGCAGCTCTGAGGAGGAAGGCTCCGAGGAGTGCGAGGGAGAGGCCGAGTGATCGGCCCTTCTTCGAGAAGAGAAACGCATTTTTGAACGCCGCTGCCAGAGAGAGAAAAAGGGGAAGGGTAGGCGGCAGGGTTTGAGTTTAGCCTAGACCAAATAGGGTTCTTTTCCGTCGTTGACGTAGAAAACACAAGATGGACGCAACACAGGTGCAACAGCTACAGCAGACAATCGCAGCAATGCAGGCAGAGATAACGGCGCTAAGGGCACAGCAACAACAGGCAGAACAGGGGCAAGCAGGAGTAGCAGCCCTAGCTCAGTCTGTAGCAGAGCTAGCCCAAACGATGAGGGTTAGGGAAAAGGGACCTGACTCCACAAGAATTCTGTTCGATACCAAAGCCCTAGGTAGACCCCGAGCGGTTCAACAATGTGGAAGATGAGTTCCGTAGATGGAGTCGGTCGGTCGTCAATATGTTGGCGTCTGTGTTTGGAAGAAAGTTTGAAGAGGTACTTGAGTGGGCACAAGAGCAAGAAGACGAAGTCAAAGACACAGATGTAGACCTGCAGTTTGGTAACAGCCCAGCCCCCGCTAGCCCCGGTGGCACAGTAACAGCAGCCGCAGACACCGTAGAAGACATCCCGGAAAAGGGTGACCAAGTATGGCGGCTACTCCAGCACCTGTGCACGGGAGAATCCGAGGGCATAGTGGTGAACTCTGGTGGTGGTTTTGAGGCCTGGAGACGCCTGCACCGGCGGTTCGACCCGCTGTCGGCAGGCCGCAAGAGGAACCTCTTGAGGGCCATTCTGTCACCAGTGAGAGTCAAGGGTTGGGAGCATGTTAGACAAGCTATAGACCAACTAGACGACCTGATAAGAAGATACGAAGCCCGAAAGAATGATGCAGGCGTGAGAGAAAAGTTGAGTGACGACTTGAAGAGTACAGCCCTAGAGTTGCTAGTTCCTACAGACTTAGAGCAGCATCTTATCCTCAACAAAGCTAGGTTAAACACCTACGAAGATATGAAGGGGGAGATACAGCAGTTGGTTGAGGTTAAGACGAAAGGGACGGTAGAACAACCGGGGAAAATCCCAGCGTCATCGTCCCAAGGACCAGCGCCAATGGAGGTTGATGCCTTAACCCAAGCCATAAGCTCCCTCATGAAGGGGAAGGGGAAAGGTAAAGACCCTAAAGGTAAAGGTAAAGGTAAGGGTGGCAAAGATGGCTCAAACGGAAAGGCTCAAACCAAGAATGGCTCTGTACAGAAGTTCCAAGGCAACTGTCACAACTGTGGCAAGCCTGGCCATAAAGCCGCCGACTGTTGGTCAAAGCTCAAATTGGGAAACACGGACTCAAAGAACAAGGGCAAGCCCAAGGACAAGGGCAAAAGCAAAGGCAAAGGAAAGCACGCTGGATCCCTAGAAGAGGGAGAGGCAGAAGAACCAGCTCAGGAAGATGAGCTGGGTGCAGTTGAACTTTGCGCTGTAGAAACCGCCTCCCAAGGCGGGCGGTGGATGAAGTTTAACTACGACACAGGGGCGGCCCGGACAGCAATCCCTCAGGACTGGGAGAGTAAGGGTTCGCCTGCTGAAGGCCCAGAGCTGACCTTCAAGACCGCAAGTGGGGAACTGATCACCAGCAAAGGTGCATGCAAAATCTCCGGCAGAGACGAGAATGGCCGGATGAAGGGGATCACTGGGTCCCTGGCCCCGGTGCACAAACCGCTGGTGTCAGCCTACAAGTGTGCAAAACAAGGGTATGTGAGTGTGATCCAAGAGGATGAAGGGCACCTCATACCCCGCGCAAGCCCGTTAGGCCGAAAGATAGAAAAGCTGGTAAAACATGCGAGCGCCGAGGAAAAGAAGGGTACGATACCCCTCTACCAGGAGGGAGGTGTCTACAACTTCTACTTGGAAGCAAACGCAGTCGAGGCGGCCAAGGCCGCAACGTCGGGTTTCAGCGGGCAGCTGAAAGCGTAAGTCCCACTGGGACGCCAGAAGCCGGGCACCCTTTGTGCGCCGGTGAGGTGGCCGGACCAGAAGCTCCGGCGCAAAGCCCGGAAGGGGAAGAAGAAGGCGAAGTAGAGGTGGCGGCTCCTAAGCAGGTTCGGTCTCCGATAGAACCGACCGCCGCAGAGATAGCTGAGCACGAGGTGCTTGGACATGTCCAATACAGAGAGTGGTGTCGCCACTGCGTGGCTGCGAGAGGCATTGGCCAGCAGCACCGCAGCCGGGAGCAACGTGAGCGTCAGAACGACGGACTTCCAACGGTGGCGTGTGACTACTGTTTTATGGGACAAGACGATGGCAAGGTGAAACCAATCCTGGTCATCAAAGATTCGAAGACGCAAGCAATAGCTGCGACTTTTGTGGAAGCCAAGGGAACAGACCCCTACGCCATCAAGTTTTGGCAGGGCTTTGTCAAGCACCTTGGTTACAAGAAGTTCATTGCGAAAAGTGATGGAGAACCAGCCATAAAGGCTATGAAGGCGAAGGCCATAGATGGCCTGAAGGGGATTGAAGCAATATCCCAAGAGACTCCCGAGGGAGACCACCAGGCCAACGGCCTGGCAGAGGTAGCTGTGAGAGAAGTGAAAGGCAAGTACGGGTCATGAAGAGCTCTCTGGAGGAGAAGCTCGGGATCACGCTAAGTGACGAGGACCCAGTCCTTGCATGGCTGCCGAGACACGGTATAGGAAGGGAGAAGATGGCAGGACGCCCGAGCAGCGCCGGTCAGGGAAGGCCTGGAGACGGCCAGCCTTAGAGCTGGGTGAAAGGCTTTTCTACCGTGAAGCGGTCGCCGCGGAATCCAACAAGAATGACCTCCACATGAAGATGTTGGAGGGCAGGTACATAGGACACCATGGCGGGACCGGAGCGTTGCTGGTCATCACACCCAATGGTGTGAAGAGGGCGCAAGGAGTGAGACGTTTACCGCCTGAGCAGAGATGGGACGCTCAGGGATGGACAAGCCTCAGAGGCTATCCTTGGGATGTAGCCCACAGAGCTGGTAGGAGCCACAGGCTCAACGGAGAAGGCCCGCTTCCAGTGCAGGGCCCGGCACCAGTGTTGGCGCCGCCAGTCCAAAGGAGACTGTACATTCTGAAAGCGGATGTAGAGCGCCTGGGACCAACCCCAGGCTGCCCCGGGTGTACATGCGTCTCCTGGGAGAGTCGACGCAGGTCAACCACACAGAGGCCTGCAGAGCCAGAATGATGGAGCTTCTAGCTCAAGACGAGAGGGGAAAGGCCAGAATTGAGGCACACGAGTTGCGCCAGAGACGAAGGCCAGAGCCCCCAGAGAGGGAAGAAGAGCTCCGAGTAGCTGATGCGGTAGGTGAACCGGAGGCTTCAGGCGTGCCTGAGGCAGGAGGGAGAAAGAAAAAGAGGGGCACGAGTAGCCCGGGGTCACCCGGGACTCTGCCGGTAGGAAAGCAGACGCCGCAGAAGCGAGGAGCTGAGAGTAGACCAACAGAGTTAGAAAAAGAGACGGCAAAGCCGATGTCAGCAGATGAAAGGGCTCGAAGAGCCTACTACGACCTTGACGAACCACCGCCCGCGCAAAGTGAACCGAGTGCGGCAAGTGGAATCAAAAGAACGGCGGAGGAGCCGCCTGAAAGCTTATATAGACCCTAGAGCAACAAGCTCAGGAGATGTAGAAGAACTGGTGTCGCAGCCAGTGGTACAGCAGCAGGCTGAAGAACAGCCGCCGCAAAGCATGCAAGCGCTGAGTTCTCTCAAACGAGAAACTGCACTGTTAGTGCAAGGCATGGTTCGGAACAAGTATAGGGCAGAGCAAGTAGACGTCACCGAACAGGAGGTGATGGATATCGCATCCTTGTGCACAGCCATGGGAGCCGTGGATGTGATGGAAATCTACAGCCCAAAACGGTTTACGGAACACGCGCCGCGACTGGGCCTTTTGCCTGGATATGCGGTAGACTTGTGTGAGACCAAGCCCAACAGTGAAGAGCATTGGGACCTGTCTAGAGAAGAAGACAGGAAAGAACTAGAGGAGCTGATTGATGCAGAAGAACCCCGGCTGTTGACCGGAGGCCCGCCGTGCGAAGCCTTCTCGAGGCTTCAAGCACTCAACCAGAAGCGGGTGTCACCAGAGGTGAGAAAGAAAAGAAGAGAGCAGGGAGAGCAACACCTGCACTTGAGCATTAAGATGTACCGAAAGCAGATGGAAAAGGGAAGGTACTTCCTACACGAGCATCCGTGGAGCGCGGACTCATGGTACGACGAGGAAGTCAAAGCCCTCGCAGAGGATGAAAGAGTTTACGTGGTAAAAGGCCCCATGTGTAAATGGGAGATGAAGGCCAACGACGTGGCAGGAAACGAAGGATATGTGAGAAAGGAAACCGGCTGGATGACAAACAGTCCAGTGTTGGCCGAAATCCTTCAGGGAGAGTGCAGCAACAAGCAGGGAGGACTGTGGCATAGGCATGTCCGCCTTATAGGTGGAATCGCCCGAGGTGCTGCGGTTTACCCGCCAAAGCTGGTAAATGCTGTACTTAAAGGCTTGAAAGAACAAATGGTTGAAGATGGAAGCCTAAGCGCCGTAGATGCGTATGCGGCAGGACCAGTACCCGAGGAGCCCAGCATGCCTGCTGGCAACTGGTACCAATACTGGGACGACGTGAATGGAGGGTACCTGGACTCCGAAGGAGTCCTCAAAGCTAGACAGCTGGAGATGGAGTACATCCACAAGCAAGGTGTGTGGAAGAGGGTACCTTTGGACCAGTGCATTCAAGAAACAGGCAAGCAACCAATCCCACTGAAGTGGGTAGACACGAACAAAGGGGATCACACGAACCCTAACTTGAGGTCCAGACTGGTCGTGAAAGACATCAAGGCCAGGAAGGGCCCCGAGGACCAGCTAGACCCAGCGATGTTGTTTTCGGCTATGCCCCCGCTAGAAGCGGTGCGCATTCTTACGTCCATGCTTATGAGCAAACAACGCTCGAAGCACGGGAGGCCGTTACGACTTGGGAGCTGGGACATCTCAAGAGCCCATTTCTATGGGACTCCAAAGAGAAACATTTATGTGAAGCTCCCAGAGGAAGAGGGAGCAGGAGAAGGAGAGTGTGGACTGCTATTGAAGTCAATGTACGGAACGCAAGACGCGCCAGCGATATGGCAGGACCACTACACTCAAACTCTGATTCAAGCAGGATGGAAGAGAGGAAGAAGCAATGGTGCAGTCTTCTATCACCCAGTGCTGGATGCCCGTGTCTTAGTACACGGAGACGACTTTCTGTGCTTGGGTGACGAAGCAGCGCAGGAAGCACTAGACAAGACACTCCGAGAAGCCTACGAGCTGAAGCGCACAGGAGAGGTAGGAATCGGAGTTGCAGGAAGCAACCAGATCACTTTCCTCAATCGGGTGATACGGTTGGAGCAACACAGTGGGAGACCCTGCGCCGTGATTGAAGCAGACTCGCGGCATGCAGAACTCCTCATCGAGGAGCTGGGTCTGAACAATGGTAAGGGCGTAGAGACAGCGGATGTTAAGAAGTCTGTGGATCAACAATTGCTGGAAGCTAAGGCAGCTGCACTTCCACCAGAGATGGTGAAGCAGTATAGGTCCTTGGTGATGCGCGCAGCATACTTGGCACAAGATCGTGCAGACATAGGCCATGCGGTCAAGACACTGTCAAGAAAGATGGTAATGCCGACAGACGCTGACTGGGGCAACCTGAAGCGGTTGGCTCGTTATCTCAAGCAGTACCCGTATGCGAAGTTGGTTTATGAACAACAGCGAGAACCAACCAAGCTCCGTATCCAAGTAGATGCGGACCATGCAGGTGACGCCGTTACGAGACGGAGCACCACGGGTATGATCGCGTTCTATGGCCAGCATCCCATAAAGCACTCGTCAAACGTGCAGTCGACGATTGCCCTATCGACAGGGGAGTCAGAATACTACGCCTTAGTGAAGGCAGGTTCGACTGGACTTGGGATCCAGTCCCTGTTAGAAGATTGGAGCTGCGAGCTGGAGGTTGTCTTGGAGACGGACTCCAACGCAGCCAAAGGCCAAGGGAGCCGGATAGGCCTGGGAAAAGCTCGCCACGTACAAACAAGGTACTTGTGGTTGCAAGAACGCGTGGCAGCAGACCACTTGAGGATCCATAAAGTGCTTGGGGAGAAGAACTGTTCAGATATCCTCACGAAGAGCGTAGGAGGACCAACGCTGAGGAAGCATCTGAAGACACTCGGTGTTCAACTGAGCTCTGAAAAGAGCCGCGGGCACAAGGAACTCCTCTTGTAAAGGTCCCTGGCCAGACTCCGCTACCTAGGCGTGAGAATGAGCCCAATACCAGAGAAGTTTCACTCCGCACATAGCAGAAGAGAAAGTATAGTGCTTAGAAGGCATTTCTGCGCACTAGAAGGGGTGCAAAATTGTACCGCCTAATCTAGGTCATGCAGTTGTATAGTGTACAGTGTATATATGCCGATGCATCTAACTCTCAAGATTCCCAGTTGAGCGTAGAAAAGAGATTTTCATTTAGGGTTTAGGGTTTGAGGTTTAGGGTTTGGGGTTTAGGGTAAGGGTTTAGGGGTTGGGGTTTAGGGTTTAGGGTTGAGGGTTGAGGGTTTAGGGTTGAGGGTTGAGGGTAGTTGAAACGGGCCCCCAATATGGTCCCAGGGTTCTGAAGAATGGGCACCTTGGGTACATAAGGGGTCCCCTTTTTAAGGGGAGGCCGCCCGCCCTCCCTTTCACCCTGTAACTCCTGTAAACCGTGTAAAGCAAAGCCCTGAACATAAAAATATCCCATATACAACTCTCTACAATACCCCATGTAAAACCCTATAAACGCCTATAACAAGCCTATCAAATCCCAACGCCAAACCCTGTATTAAGAAAGTATGAAAGCCCATAGAACCTATATCCAATTTGGAGGAGGGAGCTTAAGGCTTTGCAGTCTTGGGGTTTCATCTAGGAGTGTCTGGGGTTCGAGGTTTCCTTAAACCCCAAACCGAAACCCCTAAACCCTAACCCCTAAGCCCCTAAACCCTAAACCCTAACCCCTAAACCCTAAACCCAAAACCCTAAACCCTGAACCCTTCGGGTTGGGGCTGCGACGAAGGTCGCCCTCGCAGCTGCCGCCAAGGCGCCTCGGCTTTGCGCCCGCGTGCGTCGCAGAGTTTGGGGTTTAGGGTTAGGATTTAGGGTTTAGGGTTTAGGGTTTGGGGTTTAGGGTTGGGGGTTAGGGTTTAGGGTTTGGGGGGGTTTTGGCGGGGTTTGGGGGTTTGGGGTTCAGGGCTTGGGGTTCGAGGGGTTTGGGGTGTTGAGGCCGCTTGGGGTTTTGGCAGGTTTACATGGTTTTCACATTCCAAGACTGTCGCCTCAAACCCTAAACCCTAAACCCTGAACCCAAGAGGCTTGACAGACCCAGAAGGGGTGCGAATGTAGGGTTTAGGGTTCATTTGTAGGAAGAGGATCCCCCCCTCTGTCTTTTGTAGGAAACCCCCCCCCCCCCTAGTATCCAGCCGTCTGCCTCTCTGCGACTCGACGCTTCGGAGGCTTTGGTTGTTGGGGTTTAGGGCCCAGTGTGGGAGATTTTGGGGTTAGGGGTTTAGGGTTGAGGTTTTGGGGGTATTTGGGGTTTAGGGTTTAGGGATGAGGGTTGAGGTTTTGGGGGAATTGGGAGGGAGGGGGGGGTGGGTGTCTCTGGGCTCGGTCTGGTTTGGGCTGTAGGTTTGGTTGGTTAAGGTTTATGGTTCCAGTTGCGCTGCGCAGCTCTGGCTCGCTGCAGCCGTGTCGAGGTCAAACCCGAGACCCCAAACCCCAAACCCTAAACCCTAAACCCTAAACCCTAAACCCTAAACCCTAAACCCTAAGCCCTAAACCCTAAACCCTAAATCCCAAACCCCAAACCCTAAACTCCAAACCGTCCGGTGGCCTTGGCTCTTTCGCAGTGCCCTAACGTGGTTATAGTTGGGTTTGTTTTTACGTACAGTTTTTATGGGGTTACGAAGTACCCCCTAAACCCTAAACCCTAAACCCTAAACCCCAAACCCGAAACCCTAAGCCCTAAACGGTTATTAAGTACCATGAACCTCCAAGTACCTCCTAGGACACCTCGGTGGCGCTCGTTTACGCGCTGGTGGTCGGACCTCTGAAGACGCAGCTATGGCAGGAGCTCCCGAAACCCTAAACCCTAAACCCCAAACCCCAAACCCCAAATCCCAAACCCTCAACCCTCAACCCTCAACCCTCAACCCTCAACCCTCAACCCTCAACCCTCAACCCTCAACCCTCAACCCTCAACCCTCAACCCTCAACCCTCAACCCTCAACCCTAAACCCTAAACCCTAAACCCTAAACCCTAAACCCAGCTTGGCAAGTAGGGTTTGGGGTAGCTGAGTCCTCACCCTAAACCCTAAACCCTAGCCCTGAACCCTAAGACTTGTTGCCTCGGATTCCTTTCAACCACCTCGTAAATCAAGGGAACGTTCATATCCAGCCTGAACCCCAAGCCCTGCACCCCAAATCCCTAAATCCCTAAATCCCTAAATCTCTAAACCTTAAACCCCCCTGCATCCGGCAGTCCTGATTATTGAACCCTGAGCCCCACACCCCCGAAGCCGTTTCCAGCTTGTCTGCCTTAAAAATTTGCCGCCTAGCCCCTAGGGTTTAGGTTTAGGGGTTCAGGGTTTAACCCTTAAGCCCTGAGCCCCTGAAGCCCCTAAACCCTAAACCCTAAACCCTAAACGCTGAACCCTAAACCCTAAACCCTAAACCCTAAACCCTAAACCCTAAACCCTAAACCCTAAGCCCTAAGCCCTAAACCCTAAACCCTAACCCTAGACCCTAAATCCTCCACAGGAGAGGCAGTCAGAGCTTCAAGCGAAGATGGCTGCGCGGACTCTGAATGCGCTTCTGGTTTAGGGGTTTAGGGGTTTAGGGGTTTAGGGGGTTTAGGGGGTTTAGGGGGTTTAGGGGGTTAAGGGGTTTAGGGGGTTTAGGGGTTTAGGGGGTTTAGGGGGTTTAGGGGGTTTAGGGGTTTAGGGGGTTAGGGGGTTTAGGGGGTTTAGGGGTGTAGGGGTTTAGGGATTTAGGGGTTTAGGGGTTTAGGGGTTTCGGGGGTTAGGGGGTTTAGGGGTTTAGGGATTTATCTAGGAGTTCAGGGTTTAGGAGTATAGGGTTTAGGGTTTAGGGGTTTAAGGCTTTCTGGCTTAGGGTTTAGGGAATCCGGGTCAAGGGTTTAGGGTGTAGCGGTTCAGGGCTTAGGGTTCAGCATCTCAAGTCAAAGTCACTAGCCAAGCAGCATCTCAAGCAACGGACAAATACCCACCCACCTCTCAGCCCTCACCCTTAAAAACCCTATAAAAAAGCTGTGCGCAACGCCCTTGCCATTCTGCGCAGCGCCCCCGAAACATTTTGTGCCATGCCCACGACATTTTGCTCAATGCCCCCTGAACACCCAACCACAATGCCGTGAACTTTGGGACAGTGCCACGGAGCTTTCAGCCATGCCCACGACCCTCTGCACAAAACCCACGAAGTTTTGTACAATGCCCACGAATGAGTTAAGGGTTCACACATATATATATATATATGTATGTATATATATATATATATATATATATATATATAGGTGCATAAATCTGCTACCATATATGTACATACACATGCTGTCATATCTATACCTATATCTATATGTGTACATGTATATATGTACAAATATAGATGTGTGTGTGTGCGCGTGTGAAGGAGAGGTCTAGGGAGTAGGGAGTTAGGGATTTCTGGTTTAAGGTTTCACGAGTTTTGCTGGTTTGAAGATCAGGTTGAGGGTTTCGTGTTGGGGCTTTGGGAGGCATGAGGCTTCTCAGGTTCCCTAAGAAGAAGACCTTAAGCCCTGAACCCTGCAGTCCTTAAACCCCCCCAAGCCCTACATCCCAAAGCCTAAACCCTAAACCCCAAGCCCTCAACCCGAAACCTTGCACCCCAACCCTAACCCCAAGGGTTTAGGGTTTAGGGTTTACCGAAGACCCCCTACCCTCCCCCCCTCCCGTGTAAGCCTACAGCCTGAATCACGCAAGGCCATGGTCTCGGCGGCGTTCGCCGCCGTGCCTGGGGGCCCTGGGAGTTTTGTTTAGGGTTTCGGGTTCAGGGTTCAGGGGTTTTAGGGTTTAGGGTTTAGGGTTCAGGGTTCAGGTTTAGGTTTCAGGGTTTGGGGTTCAGGTTTTAGGGTTTTGGGGTGTTCCGGGGGTTTTGGGTTCACAAGGTTTAGTTTTGGTTGCTCCACTTTTTTTTTTTTTGTCGGGTTCAAGGTTTAGTTTTGTTTGGCTGGAGGGTCTAGGTTCGGGCTTATTCTATTTATTATTATGTGTTTTGTGGGGGCAGGGGTGTTTGCGTTTAGGGTTTCAGACCCTACATCAGTTGCTATCCACGAGTCATCCTAGTTATGTATGTCCGCAAGGGTAGCTCCTGCAGGAGCTTCCAAGCAGGGTTTAAGCAAGGTTTAGGATGAACGACTTCGAAGTGTTCGGGTTTTAGGGTTTGGGGTTTAACATTTAGGGGTTTAGGGGTTTAGGGGTTCAGGGGTTAGGGTTTAGGGTTTCCCTAAACCCTGTCAACCCAAAACCCCGGCGTGGGTTGAGGCAGCGAGGCTTCCCAGGATGGCACGTACCCTAAACCCTAAACCCTAAACCCTAAACCCTAAACCCGAAACCCTAAACCCTAAACCCTAAACCCTAAACCCTAAACCCTCAACCCCAAACCCTCAACCCTCAAACCCTAAACCCTAAACTTCCGCCGCGTGCTTAGCCGGCTCAGCCTTCACGCGGGCATGCTCTCCAGGGTCGAATCGGGCTTGATTCTGATCTCCAAATTGCACCGCAACAGCCCTCGAACTCTATATGACGATCTACCACCAGAGCTACGCCCTTAACTACACCCTACCCCCCGCCTTGGCCCACCCGAGCCTAGCTCACAAACCCTCTCAAAACCACCTATCATGGTTGGTGCAGTTTGGTTGTTGAATGTTTAGTTTTGGTGTCTGAACCCTGTGCTTGGTTGCTGAAACTGGGAGGTTGCTGAAACTGAACCGCGGCTGCGGAAGGAAGGTTGTTGAAGCAAGGCTTGGTTGTTGATCCGTTGCCCAAGCCCTCCAGCACAAGAACGGGAAGGTGCCGATCAAGGCAGACAAGGTGATGCCAGTTCCCATCATCCTCCGGTTGAGCTGAGAAACATATTTTTGAGTCGTTGGCCGAGGTTCAATCATGAGGCAAGTGAACCCTATATGAACTTATGAACCGTGT